CAGCTGGTTTAGGGTATTGTTTGGCCGCAAAGCGCCGATGAGAAATGGTAGGCATAGATCCTGGTGCCGCATCTCAAGTAGGCACGTCTCATGCTAGCTAGCAGTGACCATTTGTTAAAGTCCACTTTCGCCGCCACCTGTCTCCCATCGGTTAGGAAAACAGCTCATAACAGCATCCGCTCGAGCGGTTGATCCTCCTTTTTTGCCGCCCAACGAGGGCGTGAAGACCGTCTTGCGGATAAAATGTCGATGTCGTTAAGTCCAATAGCTGCCACCAAGATAGTACCGTATCTTTCGCACCTTCTATATTTAAAGCTGCGGTATAATGCCACTTCGTGTATATCGTTCATTATTTAGCAGCTTATTTCTCTTCTGTAAATAAGCGATGCATATGTTATTCACCAGTATTTTATTCATGAGCTTTGTTTCCTTATCGAGCGCTTAAATGAATTTGTAAGTATATGCAACCGTCAGCATTGTTGCAAATTAATTCTTAAAAAACACTTATCGAACTCTTCGTGCAACGTAGACAAATATTACGAATAAAATTACACGAGTATTGCATACAAATTTGATATCTAATTTGCAATTCGTTTGAACGAAAACTAGGTGGTCTGGCCGCTAATGTCTGGATCTACTTGATCCGCGAACGGCACGAAATAAGCCAACGAAAAAACATTGGAATAGAAGCATTCGACAAAAGTCTTGAGCGAAAAAATTGCACGGGTGTAATGAAACGGTCGACGTCGCTTGCCAATTTTCCCGTCCGTGATTCGATTGTCGCGAAAGTATCGCGCGAAACGGTATTGGAATATCGTTTATGCGTCTCTCTAAATCACGCACTTCGTATCCGGAGCTTGTTGAGCTCGGTTGCATTCCTATCGGGCTATGTAACGTAACATGAATTTGCCGGCATTCGCGATATAATCACAAATTAATTACTAGGGCTTTATTGAAGCTCGCGATGGTTTTTGCAAAATTTCGGAAAATTACCGAAGATCGATTCGAAATTGGAATTCTGCGATGTCAGCGTTTATTAATCTGTGGCGGCAACCGGTACAATTATACATATTTAATATACAACCGGATATAATTTATTACAGAATCGTCAGTACAAACAGTCGTTTGTTATTTGTCGCGTTTCGCCAACTGAAAACGCGTATAAACTAATGCGGAAAAGCAAAGAAAATGAACGATATTTAATTTCAATTAATCTATCGATGATTCTAATAGGTTGCCCCTCCTTGTAACTTCAGCAGCTGTCTCTGGTATATTGATATGCAACATATATCTTGGGTTTATAGGGTTATTAAGGACTTCATCCGTGTCTCATGGCAGGATTACTACGTTATTATCCTTCGGTAAGTGGCAGGTTGGTTGGTCGGCTGGTTAGTTGGTCCCTTGTAAGGAAGACCAAACATCGTCTCCTCCTTTGCTCGATCCCTCGAGCCAGCAGCGAAACTAGTAAGACATTTCGTCCCCTCTCTCCCAAATCGTCTCGTGGAATGGGACCCAGTTGCGAATTTGACCCTCGTAATTAATTTATAACCGGCGGTTCTTGTTGCGAAGGCGGTTGGTTAAGCGGAGAGCGGCTGACCTCGTACCGAACAGTTCTACTCGAGTTTTGGCCAATTAACGATGCTACTCGAAAACAAACTCGTTCTCGCTTTCGCGCGTAATTGATTCCTCTCATCCTCTTTCTCTCTTAACGACTTATTATTGCTGTTCAAAATCCATTCCAGGAATTGTGTTTACCGTCGAACCGATGGCGTCGGAGCATAATTTCCAACTATGTTCTTGATGGTTTATTTTTAAACCGTTTAATTTATAAACCCTGCAGACTTAGTCTTCTAACGCGAACAATGTTTCGCGCTAATTTACATAGGAAATCGCTTGCATCTCTTCTCTCGTACAACTTTCTTTAATCGCGTGGAAGAAAGATCGTAACGGTTGCGTGGCCCGCCCGATGTAGAATTTGTTTCTTTGTCGCATAAGACCGAGGGTTAGCACACGCTAGAACAACACAGTTTGCCAAGCGAGCAGGTATTACGTGCACGAAAGTCTTTCCGTTTCCGCGAGATTCCTCTAATGCCTCTGACTCGCAGTGTTGAGCACTCGGTACACACGTACTCCGACCACTTATTACAGACCTAACACAAATTCGACATGGACGGGGGAGGTGGTAGTCGGAAGGTGGTCGAAGGAGGTCGGAGGATGGAGGAATCCATAGATCGCGGGGCTAACAATCAGCCGTAAATTATGGTCTCAATATCCATTGTGTACCCTCCTTGCTCTTGAGCGAGCCTAACCCCAGAGTCTAAGGCCAAGACTACTCACACCCCCTCGGTCGGCACAACGGTAGAAGCACGGCAAGAGAGGGTCGGTACGGCTCTCTCACGGCCCAACTGAACCAAGAGATATGTATATTAATGGGGCAATCTTACATAGTTTTGTTTACCTTGCCATTCTCTTAGTACGTATACAATTACTATCCCTAGCCCCTACGGTATGCTTAGTACAAGGGCTGACTGCCTTCTATCGTGGTTTCTCTCTTCGTACGCCTCGCTTCGTCCCCCTCGAAACTATTAGTTACGAGCGTTCGTTCGGTCTAATTAATCGTCGTTAACTAGCATTTATCCATAGCGTTCTATGTACTTTATCGATGGTTCTGCTATTTCCTCGTACGAAAAAAGTGCTGATTTAGTCTAACTGATATCTAATTAGCGAAACGTCCTGTAATCCGTCAGAGAGGTAGTACGATTAGACGAAAGGGTGATTTTCGAAGAAGATGCGTGTAAAAACATGTACAGGGCAATGTTGACGGGGCGAAGAAGGGTCTCGATAAAAGCGGGTTTCGTTCTTGAAGGGTTTAAACGGAAGCGGGTCGATGGAAATCCCATTCTAGCCGCGTTGGCTTTCAGCAAAGAAAATATTGTCCGCGACACGAGCGATAGCGAAGCGGAACTTTTCACCTTACGCGACCTCCCCACTTTTAATTCCGGGGCTGAGCGCGAGCGGCTTTGTAGCGGAATGTACATTTCTCTCGTTGAACAACCTCATTTGTGTAATCCCCGAAGCTTCGACAACAAACTGTCTGCGGCATTGGAACGGTGTTGGGGGTGCATGGGTGGTGGAGGACAGGGTGCGAGCACGACATTAACGTACTTTGTAATTCAGCTCTCTGTGGTAACTGCCACCCTCTGTCATCTTCTGACCTGTCTCTTTTCCTCTTCGTTTCTATCTAGCTCTTCATCGTTCTGCATGAAATTGCAATTGTAATAGCAATTATCTTATTTCTACTATTGCTTCTTTGTACCTTCGATTCGCGACACGCGCGGTTGACGGTGATGCGAATCAGAGGGAAAGAGAAGGAGGCTGCGAACGGGAGAACAACGAGAACGGAATGGAATTAAACGTTGGCGGAACGGTTGAAAAGCAGTGACGCAATTTTAAGTCGTGTGGCTGTTTACTAGAGCGGAATGACGAGTCTTTTAACAGAATATTGTCGGCACGAGTTACAACCGTGTTCACTGTATCATTCGTTCGCCGATTATCAACCGGAAATACCGTGGTTTTCTCGCTAGCAAAGGACTCGAAAATTGACTGCGCGAAAAACACACGTAGCTGCCTCTCCACGTTGTTCCGTTTCGTTCGTACAGATAAACTTTATTTCAATCATCGCGCGAAATTGAAAGCGATTCGCGTGGCCGAAGTACAACAGGCAGTTTGCTCATTCGATGGCCGTCCATTTTAATCGTTGTCTCTGGATCGAACGATCGCGGGAGCGGAAGCAACGTTGGTAGAACACAGAACGAAATTACAGGAACGGTCACGATGGTAGGGCCAATTTGGCGAAAGAGAAAAGCCTGCATTGCGACGTTGGATAGAAGGATGTAGGCGGGTTGGTTAAGGGATTGGTTTACAGAACGCGGAACAGGAAGAAGGAGCATTTCATCGTAGAGAAGGATAACGCGAGGAGAGGTGGGGGTGGCGAAGGAATAGTTTGTTGATCGACAGAGTCGGAGGAACGTTACCGCGGTCTCGGTTCCGTAGCAGCGACTGCTGAAATTCGTTCGAAGTAATCAATATTATAGCCCGCGAAGATATATGCGAGAGGATGTGGGCAAACAGTGTACACGCGTGCATTGTAACGCGGCAGTAGGGGAAGGAGGTTCAGGGTATAAGAAGGGTGTAACGAACGGAGAAGGGGGAGTACGAGCAGGGGGTAGAAAAGTGGCGAGATACGAAGAGAGAAAGAGAAAGATCGTAGAAAGGGGTGCGCGAGAGGATGGAGTTAGAGGTGGAACAGAAGGGGTTGAAGGGAGCCGCGAGGTTCATACAACGAGGGCTTCAGCCCGCGGGGGTGAACTGGGGGGAAGGAAAGGGGTGGACAGCCGGACAAACAAAACCCTTGCTGCTTCATTTCTGCCCGTCTGGCCAGACACCGACCCTTTATACGCGCGCGCTTCCGTCCTACGCTCGGCTCGTTCATTCCCTTTCCTCCTCGACCGGTTCCCGAAACCCTCAATGCTTCGTCGAGTTGTACTTTCGGTACGTTACTTTTCGAGTTCGTTAATTAACGGCACCGTCGCCTCATTGGCGAGCTCGCGTTCGCTCCAAGGATACGTCGAAATGGTTTTCGACGGACCACCCTAAATCGCCTGGCCGCATTGTCCTTAACCGACTGGATTTAAGTTTCGACGGATCGTTCGAAGAGGGTGTGGATTGTTTCTGAACGATCGTGCTTCATTTTTCTCCGCCGATAGATATATAGGAATCTCGGAATATACGTATCCAGCTAACGTGCACGCTTGTTTCGCTTTTATAGGATAGATTGCATCGCGAGATGTCGCGAGTGACTCGCATATTTACTTTCATAGCTTCGATGTAATTTGACCACGAATGCATTAATCAAATCTCATATACTTTTTAAAGCTGCGCGATCGGAGCTGTAGATTACGGACTTTTATATTAACGCACACGATCTATTCTTGTTCCAGGTCAGTGGTGTATACTTCCCAGGCTTCTGAGACAGTGTGACATGGCTTGTTAATGTGAGTTATATGACATTTTCGTACGCGGCGAACGATTTTCTTTCGATCGAATCGCGGTACACGGATCGAATACATTTTTCTAGCAATATCTTACGCGGAGCTTAATCCGCGCGATATTATTTTTGGACAAGGTCCAAAACAGAGCATGTAAAACCCGGTATTGCGAGAGAGAGAAACGGAGAATCGAACGAGAGGGGTCGGTAGCACGCTTTGCTCCCCGTCGTTTTAGGGGATGAACGATGCGAGACATCGATAATCGCATTTGTTGTACGATCGCCGATACGGAACTTTCGGAATTCCGTCCGGCCAAGAAGCAAGGGAACTTTATGACTTAGGAAGTATTATATTATTCCGGTATCCGCGCAACCCCTACATCTCATTATTCCACCCTTTGTTTCCTAAGATATCTAACCGTTTTCCGCGCTGCTAACAAAGTCCCTCTTGATCAATTCGATCGTCCTTATTTTCACGCTGATAACGAGGTTTCTCTTTATCCGCAATCTCGAGGAATCTCTGCTTTACGCTAGTTTCGAGCGAGCGAGCGTTAATTGCTCGGAGCGAAAAGGCAGAAAACACCGCGAACGCGTGGTTTATTTCCACTGCTGTTACCTTTTTTTCGTTTATATTTTTTTCTTGTTTTTTCTCTAAAGAACACTCGGCACCAAAGTGGGAGCTAATAACATAAATGAGGAACACAGCTCGTCGCCTCTTTTTTTTCTCTCTCTGTTCTCTTACCTTTTCCTCGTTTTTCCGCGCGGGCCAGCCGTTGCGTATAAAGTGGCGAATATGGGGGTGTGAAATGCATGTCGGTTTCACGGGGTTGCCGAGCCCGTAATAGCGGGGACGACAAGAGAGGTGGTGGCAAGCGTGTAGAGTCGGGTTCTGGAACGGGCTCGAGTTGCACGAGTCAACTTGGCTCTCATTGGCTACTTGCCGGCGACCGCTACTCGCGAAACATTAGTATTCTCTGCTAATTAAAATGTAACTGAAATTGTAATGGTCTGCGTGCGGCGACGATACGCCGGGAATAGGGGAGAAACAGAGAGGCGTTACACCGTGCACTCGGTAACAGACGATGTGTGCTTTTTCATGCTCGGCTTGGGGACTGAATAGAGGAAAACGTCAGACCGTTTTGCAAAAAAATAGAGGAAAAAGACTGCATCACAGCCGCGATTGTTCCTATTACTTTTGCCCGGCGTATTATGAATATCGTTGCCAGTAGTCGGCTGGCGGATAGAAAACGAAATGGAATCCCGTACAAACGCGAAGAATTTGTGCTAGGTACATAAGCCGAATAATTTTCACCAAATTCCTTTTTCTTCCATTTTTAAGTACACGCGTATTATTATCGTCTTTCTAATTTACCTGAATAAACAATGGAAGATACAGTGTAAGTAACATTGGAATCTTTAAATCTTTATTTTAATTTGTAAGAAACGATAAAAAATGGAGAACGTGGAGTGACTATTAAAATCACGCAAAGAAGCAAAAATAGTATATTATAATTGACACAGTGATTGTCGCGGTAGAAGTAGGTATTCTTAATGTGACACGTGACAGCAGATGTTAAGGACGCGACAATCTAATTTATTAAATCAATGTTACATAATTAAAAATTACTAGTTAGCGTAATGTAACAAAATTTGTATTATTATATGGACAATGCACGTATAAATTTTTATAAAGTTATTTGAATAATTTTGTGATACGGTTCGGTTAAAAAAGGGACCACCTTCGGCTTCTTCGGTTCGTTTGAAACTCGCTACCTTACAACCCTTAAATCGCATTACCCTCGGCACCCTTTTTCACCTCTTTTCCGGTTATCTCCAGGCCGGCTCGTCTTTCGCTCTTATTTTATTTGTTTCGCTTATCCGCGCCGTTCTGGAGTCTCGCCGCGCAGATTTCGCGGCAATTTACTTTATGCGCGTTACGTCGTTTTCCGGCCTCTCGCTTCTACCCAGGGTGCCGCGGCCACCCCACTAGGTATCGTCTCATTCGACTCCGACCAACTCACCCTTACGACGTTCTTATGGGGTCTCACACCGAGGATTCGGCGTACATACATGCACGCGAAACGCGGAGGATACATCTGTGTGTGGTTCGTTCTATCGCCGGGCCACCCCCGGGGTGTTGAAGCTCTTCTGCACTTATTTCGCGCTAATTCACCCCTCAAGACCGCTTACACGCCCTCCCCCCGTTCCTTCTTTCCTTGCTTCCGCCAAACCAGTTAGCTTTTTTTTCTCACGTGCCGTGAAGCAGTTCTCGTTAAGCGGTTAAGGGTGAACTCGGTAAAGAGGGGTTGTAAATTCATTGACTGACGAAAATACTCCCGCCGGAATTCCTGGAAGCATCTTTCGGCTTTCTTCTTTCGTTTCGTCGATACCCCTGACACGATATCATCGGTGTAAATGGATAGGTTCGAAAGTTGACGAACCGCGAGGTCGTTCAACCTCGCTTATCAACTGGTCGATTGCGAGACGTAGATAGCCTGACGTCATTTGATGACATAAGAGTATCGCGAAATGGTATTTATGGTGCATCTATTCGAGGCTTAAGTTTCGACGTAAATAGCCTCACGCATAAACGTTTCGTTGATATCTTCGTACAGGTAATATTAAGTTGTAAATTGGTTGATCCATTGTTTGTACTAAATACCTACGAAACGTTGACGCGGTCGTTCTTCTGTAATTTTAAGCGTTAAATCGATACGCGATAAATACTACTTTGGCAAGGAACAACCTAATACCTATCCCGAAGAATTTATCGCGTTCTCTTTTCATTATCGTTCTGCATAAAAATGTTCATTGGTATTATTAAGTATATTACCATTGAATATTTGACAACACGTAACAAAAGGGTGATTCAGAATGTTCATCGTAAATAAGCATTACGATACAATTTTCTGTCACAACAATGGTCGCCAGTGTTACAAAAGGTTTAACCACCAGGCGACCGTCGGCTACTACCCGTGGACAATGAGAACGTCCGCGTTACGCCATAAATTGATTTGCGAAAGCGTTCCTGAAAAAGCTCTCTTCTCTCTTCTCTCCGCGAGGCGTAGCGAGTCCAGCCTTGTGGCCAGCCAGGGGTTCGGGGTGGGGCCACACCGGGCTTTTGAGCTTATACCGCAAAAATTACGTCGCTAGAGGGATTGTATTTATGTTACATAATTACGCCACGCGCGACCAGCGGATAGAGGGGTGGTCGGCGCACGAGGAGTCAATGGTTTAGAGAGGGTGGCCGGGAGACGAGGAGGAAAAAAAACCGCCTGGTCGAGGAAAAGTTTTTCGGCGGCTGGCTCGACCGACCGACCGACCGACCGACCACCCGGCTAATGAATAGAAATAATTCTCCTGCAATTGTGCTTTTCGGTAGTTTTCAATTAACAGTCGCCGCCCTCCCGCCCTCTCCTTTCTACGAGGCTTTTGCGCCATTCTCCGCAACCCCCTTTTTTTCGCGAATACCGTTCTCGCGAATGGACGAGCCTGTAAGTTTTTAAACGCGCCAGAAACGTAATTATAACCTTTCTATTTTTTCCTACTCCCTTCGCAACAGTCTGTATCTCGCGAAAATAATTTCTCTCGCGTCGTTTAACGCGGCGGAATAAGGGTATCAACGTCGTGGTACAGCTACGGAAATCCGTATTCGCTGAAAGGCTATCGAGAAGTATCCCCGGATGTCGTTGGAGCCTAGGCGGAATCCCAGAAAATAAATCGCGTCTCACTGTCACCGATCCCCGGTAATATTTGTCTTTCGCCGGGCCATTTTACAAGATTTCCTATCTACTCGGCTTTATAAGCGAGGAAGACGAGGGAATCGTCCAGCACAGCGTCAGGAAGGGCTGACTCGGACACGGGCGGCGAGTTCACGTCGTGAGACGGGGCTGAAAAAGGAGTGGTCGTGTGATTCCCTGGCTGGCTGGTGGAGAAACGGCCGGCTAGTAGTGGTAGGTGGTAAGGGAAGAGTACACGGGACAGGGTCCCGCGGGATAAAACGGGCTATCAGATGTGAAACCCACTGCGTCGAAATGTAAAAGCTTCCTGACAAATCGGTTTCTATTACCGCGTCGCGGTGGGTCGCCTTTTTTATATTGATGGCATTATTTTGCGCGGAGACGGGAGACCGTATTTTCTCGACACATACGGTATTCTCCGTACTGCACGATCACAGACCCTCGCTTATGAATCCTGGTTATTTGCCGGGGAAATTAATGTGCGCTTACGTTCGTGCGGCCCGGACCGCCTATATCAAAGAAACGGACTGACGTTCGATAAAATTGGTTATTATTACCCTTCTTATTAAGTCCTCAAGGGATTACGCGGACCGTTCTCTGCGGCTGCTTCGTGTTATCCTCTTTTAATTGCCGTTTCTGGTGACGCGAACGGACGGGATCGAGGGACGAAACGAAGTCGACGGAATGTTTTGCAAACTCTTCTCGGACGTTGTAAAACAATTCCGGCGAATATTCCAAAGTCGTAAGTTATTACGGTGTGAAGACGCTATAAAAAGTCTGGAAAAATTTCTGGGTCAAAAGTGTAAGTGACCTTGATAAAGGTTGTCCTTTGAAGCAATTTCAAATACTCGACGCTCATATGTCGCGACAAAGAATCGTAAGCCAAGCTAGTTAGGGAGAAACTCGTGTTTATCGCAGAATTTACGAGAAAATTTTCAAAGTAGATTCAAGGGATCGTCCTTCACCCAGATATGACCGAGTTTCAGTTTGCGATAGACGTTTTTCAATAAACAGCACTGTACGCTTTAAAATTGCGGTGGTTTATGGTAGCAGAGGTGTGGTTGATGCAGGAAGTCCTCCGCGTCCCGTAGCAGGAAGAATCTTTCCGGCGCACAAAGGGTTGCCTCGATGTCCTCGAGGATGTGACGTGTCCCGTGGAAAAAAAGTAAGAGCACGTACGTGAAAAAAGAGGTTGGTGGGTGGACGGGGCGAGAAGGTGGTTAGGTGGACTGGGCAAAAACATCCGAAAAAGAGTTCCGTGGATGGT